AGCTGCTGGAGAGTGGTTCCTTGACAGTGGCCCCCCGCACCTGCCTCCGTTTTATTTCTGGAGTCACAGCTGATTCATGGGGGTGGGGAGAGGGACCGGGGCTGGGGGTGGGGGAGGGCTCTAGGACTCAGGACCCCGGGGCCTGGGGTCCTTCCCTTTGGAGCAAGAGGGACAGGTGTGAGGCGACAGGAGCGACGTCCACGTTGGAAAGCCTGGGACAAACGGGCTTGGGGAAGGGTCTCCTGAATGGTGGGAGAAGAGACAAGCCTGATCTGGGTGTTTGGGGGCTGGGTTAGAAAGAGGGGAGCAGGAAAGGGGTCTCCAGGATGGACGAAAGCAGAGAGAAGGACGCTGGATCTCAAAACCTGAGAAGAAACAGAGGCTCCGCAGCCCTCACCTGAGGCCACCCTGCCTCTGTCCTGCCCTTGAATAGTCCCTTCCGCTTCCGTCTCTTGAGGCTCCCCTCCTATCTTTCTAAGGTGGGCCTGTAGACTCAGGCGCCGGGTCCTTTCTTTATTCAAAGAAGCCTTCTCTTTCCCCACCCTCCATGAAGCTCCGTCCTGCGACAGGGCCTGACAGCCTCCCCTGTGGGCTGGGGGCGGGGCCCAGTAGGGACCCTGGGGCCTGTCCTTGTCCCAAGCCCAGAGTCCTCTTGGGTTTCCTGGGCTGGGGTGGGCTTGGTCTGCATTCCCTCCCCTCTCTACGGGCACCCCCGGAGGGCACATTCCAGCTGAAATTAAATCACATTCCTCCTTCCCTGCCTGGCAAGGATGGCATTGCTGACAGCAGCTGTGACACCATAGGGTCAAGTGGCAGCAGCTGGTTCCCCGAGGAGGGTCTGAGAAGGGGGTGCTGAGGGGAGCCGGGGGACCAGGGCCTGTGGAAGCAATGAATGAGCTCTGAGGCTTGGCTCTTAAGAGGCCAGAGCAAGTGGGCAGAGCCTGCAGTGAGAGGCACTCAGGCGGATGGGGAAACCCGCGCCACCTTCTGAGAGGACCCTGGAAGGACACCCTCTTCCCACCCCCCGGACTGGGCTCCCACAGGGGACATGAGGCTCAGGGGCCCTTTAAGAGTCCCCACTCGGCGCTCCCTTGGCTGGAGCCCAAAGCCTGGGCTGTTGGTTTCCTCCGAGACTCGCAGCCACCCGGGGCAGCGACAGCATCAGGCTGGAGGGAGAGTTCAGCCCTGACCTCACCGTCCATGGCCCTCAGCCTGACAGCCTTATAAGGAAGTGCCCCAAACAAACGAGGAAGCCACCTCCGGCCCCCCACCCTGCCCCCGCCCCACTCAGAGGCTATATTTACCCAGGAGGCCCCAGAATAACCTCCCACTTGTCCTCCTGCTGGTGGGGGGGAGGAGAGGGTGCTGCCTCCTTGTTCCCTGGGGTGGGGGGGACTCCACCCTCCAAAGTGCTTCCTGTTGCCAGACTTCATTCATTGATCCACGCTGTGTTTCCTGAGCGCCCTCTGGCCCCCAGGACAAAGGCCTTGCTTTCCAGAACTTTCTACAATGACAGGGTCTTCCCAGATGCCACAGTCCTAGGTCCTCCTACTCTCTGGCCAAAGTGTCTCCTCTCTGCCCAGAGTTCCCTGGGGACTCTGTCTGGGTGATATCTAGGCCAACGACCCTCCGATTCTTGTTTCCTGAGCTCCACCCTCCCGAGGGGGGCCCCTCCTGGAGCTCAAGGTTCCCTGCTGGGTTCTCCAGCTCAGAAGATGGGACCACCGTCTCCCGGCTGCCACGCCACCGCGGATCACAAGTCCTGACACGGCTGCCCTTCCGTGCCTCCTCCCAGTCCTGCCCCAGAGGGCCACGAGGTCCTCTGCTCTGTGCTCCCCTAACATCCTGCACTTCTGTTTCCAACAGGACTCCACTCAGAAGCCCTTGTTCAGTCAGGAGGGAAAGCTCCCGGGGCCCCCAGTGCACAGTGCATGGCCCATAGTGGACATTTAGTGGGTATTTGTTGAAAAATGACAGCGAGTCCTGTTATCACCACCAGAAACGTTCCTGCCTCTGTCCAGCCTGCATGTCTCTCGCTGTGTAGACGGATGACCGTCTCCAGAGATGCCACGCCTCCCACTACACCTTCCCCACCCCCAGAGTCCTCAGGCCTGTCCAGCTCACACCGGCCCCGCTGGGGATTGGTAGCAGAGTGAGCTGGTTGGGGTAACTCTGTAGGGGTCAGGGCCCTGGTGTGGGGGGCAGGATGGGCACACGGCACAGGGGAGGGCCGCTTGGCTTGGCCTCTGTCCTTGGTCTCTTGCCCAGGCAGGGGTGCCCAAGGCCTCCTGTGTTCCACAGAGGGCCAGGGAGTGGGCCTTCCTTGCCTGAGTGCCAAAGTGCTGGCCCCCAGCCCGGCAGCCTGACGGGGTGACAGGGCGCCTTGTTAGCAGTGAGCACAGGAAGGACAGTGGAGGCTCGGGCTGCCAGAAGGGCGGGAGACACAGGGTCCTGGCCCCCCAGGGCAGGGGTGTGGATGAAACGGGGCCTGAGCCCTGGATGGAGAAGGGGAAAGGCATGGGCAGAGGCAGACAGCGAGAGTCTGTCAGGGGCCTGCTGTCCACCCCACACTGGCCAGAGGACGTGATGCGGGCCAGAGCGGTGGGGACGTCAATCCTTTCATCCTCGCCCTGCCCTCAGCCTTAGGCCTGAGCCGGAGGAAGGGCCTGTGTTCAGCTTGGAGTATGTCTCTAAATGCAGAACATTTCTTTGGCAGTCCCTGTCCCCCCCACCCAGGATGTTTAGAGGTGTCGCCAGATCTTCCTTCCGGGCTGAGCTGAGCTGGGGAGTGGTTTCCATTTGGGTATCCTGACTTCAAAGCCTTCGGGGGGCCCCCCAATCCAGGAACCCAGAAAACTGGGAAGGGGGTGGGGAGCTGTGGCTGGGTGGCCCCTCCCCCGTCTGACCCCAGCTACCCACACAGCACAGCTAGCACACCCCTGCCGCTTCAGGCTACCCCCTCCCTTCCACTTCCCTTGGCTTCAGCCTACAAGGAAAGCCCTCCTGAGGCTCAAAGCCGCAGCCCCCCCAGCTCCCCCCAGCCTTTCTCCTGCTCTCCCTGCCCTGGGAGGCCCCCAAGTTACCCAGCCCAGCGCCCCGCACCATGTGGCTGGCTGAGATGGAGAGGTGAAAGGCTGACCTGAGGCCACACAGCCAGGCAAAGACAGAACAGGCCTGCCTCCCCCTTCACCCCACCAGGACCCAGCCGATTGGAGCACAGATCACAGGCCAGACAGCTGTTTGGGTTTGGGGGCAAAGGGGCTTATTATGCTGGCGGCACCGAGGGGCCAGGCTGGGGGTGGCACAAGTCCTTCTCCCTATAATCAGGCCTGTGGCAGAGATGATGATGGCCTGAACGCTCAGGCCCTGAGGTCACCTGGATTGGCAGCCCCAGCCCTCCCGGGAGTCCCAGCGCTGTGGCCTGCAGCCTGAGTCTGTCTGCCTCTGTCCCCCACCCACCCAGGAGCCTCCCAGGGGCCCTCCCCTCAAGAAGCAGCCCCTCCCCGACGACGCCAGCATCTGCTGCTGCTCCTGTCTCCCCAGCTCCTCCTGTGCCAGCCCTGAGGACCCCCTAAATCGAGGAAGGAAGAGTCCAGACTTTGCAGGCCAAGGCATTCCTTTATTGAGGCAGGGATGAGCCAGACAGGGCCATCGGGGCAGGAATACGGGGAGTCAGGACATAGGGGCACCCCCTCGCTGGCCAGACATCCCACGAGAGCGCAGTGAGGACGGGCAGGGCTGGTGAGCCCCAGCCAAACACCATCACAGCCTCCTCACCGTGGAGGAGCTGCTGGCCTGAGGCCTTTTCCTGCTGAAGGGATGGGGAGGAAATGGGGCCTAGGGCTATAGGGATCAGCTGGCTTAACCGTCATGGGACACTGCAGGCAGGGGGTCCCCATTTACAGGGTCTGAGGGGCTGCTTTGATTTCTGGAGGCTGCATTCTCAGAACCGGTCCCTTCGTCACACCCTCTCACCCTGGCCACCCCGGCCTTTCAGACAGAGGCCACAGGTCAGATCATTTGTTAAGGTGCTAACCCCGAGCAGGGCTGGGGGTGGGGGGTGGGGGGGTGGAGCTTGAGGACACATCCCCGCCCGCGTCCACAGTGCTGGAGGAGCACCGCCCCTAGTCCTCCCCTGAGGACCAGGAAGCTGCGTCTTCCCCCCTCTGGGTGAACTGCAGGAACTGGCCGGGGCCCAGGTGAAGAGGAGCCCCTGCCCAAGGGGTCTTCAGGGCACCCCCCTCCTCCTCCTCCTCCTCCTCCTCCTCCTCCGCAGGGCTCCCTTGGTCCCCCACGGGGGCCCCCAGTTTCCCCTGCCCTGCTCTATCGGACTGCTCCAGCCAGTTCACCACCCCCCCGTTCACATGCTCCAACTCATCCTTCAAGCTGGGGCCCCGGCCATTGACCCCAGGGGTGTCCTCTGTCCTACTGAGGGTCCCCCGAGGGCCAGGGACTTGGTCCTCCCTCTCCAAGGGCCCAGCCTCAGACTCTTCATCTGAGCCTGAGGGTTCCGTGCTGTCCTGGGACTCAGTCTCCAGGGCAGTCACGGGGGGACCGGCTGCTGCGCCCCTCAAGCTGTCATCCCAGGGGATGCTGACATCCACGGTCTCAGAGCCCGGTTGCTTCCCTCTCTGAGGGCCACTCAGGGCCGGGAGGCCACCCCCGGAGGACCTCGGCCCCCACTGCCCGGCCCCTGGCTCCTGTCCCTCCTCGTCTTCCTCCTCTCCCTCCTCCCCACTCGCTTCCTCATCGGCAAACCCGTCAGACTCCCCATCCTGACCCCAGGCTGCAGGCTGCAGTAGCAGCTGGGACACCTGGCCCAGAGGTCCCGTCACCTCCCTGGGGACCCCGGGAAGGAGAGGAGCCTCAGTCCCCAGGTCCTCAAATTCCTCCAAAACGTCAGAGTCCTGGTCCCGTTCCTCATCTTCCCCCTCCTCCTGCTCTGGGTGGGCCCCATGGCCCTCAGAGGTCAGGAAAGCAGGACCCCAGCCTTCCTTCCTGTCCCCTTGAGGGGAGGGCCTCTGCTCTCCAGCTGGGTCCCCCTGGGGTGAGGCAGGGGACTGGAGGTAGAGGCCCAGGGGCGTGGAGTCAGGAAGGGTCTCCCCCAGCCCATCGGCCTCACTCTCATCTCTACTGTCCTCGTCCTCGTCCCGGAGGCCCTCAGAGAGCTCCCCAGAATCCAGCTCTTCCTGTTCACCCTCCACCTTTCCTGGGCCTTCAGCTCTGCCCTCCAGTCCCCAGCTAGCCTCCTGGCTCCCCTCACTAGGGGGCTGGGGCCCAGGGGCATCCTCGGGGATTGGGATGGGTGACCAGGGCTCAACGGGCCTCGGGCTGGGGGGCCCCAGCACTGGTTCTGCCTCCTCCTCAGCTCCCTCTGACCCTGGGGGCCTGGGTAGAGGGGCATCACTTCCATCCTGGCACAAGGTATCAGCAGGGAACACCGCCTCTGCTCCCCAGGGGACTTCAGGCCCCAACTCCTGTCCAGTCCCAGGGGACTCCAGGGGGCCTCTGCTCTGCACGGGCAGCATGGTAAGTTCTGGCTCCAGGGCAGCTGCCTCCTCTAGGTCCTTTCTGGGCCCTTCCAAGCCCTGCACCCCCTGTGCCTCCCAACCTTCCTCCCCCAGGAGTGGCTCTATCACCTGCTCTCTGCCCAGGTGGCCCGGGTCCTCCATCCCCACTGCCTCCTGCTCTGGTCCCTGCTTAGCTTCTGAAGCAGACTCATCCATGGCTCTCTCCAACCCCAAGGTGACCTCTGGGGAGGCTCGGCCACCCCCTGGGGCCTCATCCTCAGCTTCCAACACTGGCTCTGTCGCCTCTGACATTCCGCTGGGAGCTGGGAGGCCTGGGGCCCCCACCTGCTCTGGTTGCCCTTCAGGGTCCTGGAGGCCCTCAACGTCTCCCTCTCCACTGGTTCCCTCAGCTGGGACCCTCTTCTCATCGGGCTCAGGACTCCCTGAGCGCCCCTCACCTGCACTCCAGGCGCCCCCTGTGGCAGTCAGCTGCAGCGTTCCCTCGTCTCCAGACTCCTCCTTTCCAGCAAAGCCGTCCTGCTCCCTCAGGTCCAGCTCTCCGTCATCCTCCTCGTCCACTCCAGCCCTCCCAGGGCGCATTCCCTGCTCCAGTTCTTGGTCCCCCACCACCACATCCTCCCACCCCTGCCGGCTTGCGGACAGTGGCAACTCCTGTCCTTCCTCTTCCAGAGACCTCAGCGACTCTCGATTCTCTCCCTTTTCCAGGCTCTCTTCCTCTTCTAGGTCCTTAGGACCTTCCTTGTCTACCTCTTCTGGAGATCTCAAATTTTCTAGGTCCCACTCTCCCAGAGATCTCAGTGATTCTTGATTCTCCTCTTCTAGGGCACTCAGTGACTCTTGGTTCTCTTCCACAGACCCCAGTGGTTCTTGAATTTCCTTTTCTAGAGGTTTTGTTGTCTCCCGATTCATTTCTTCTAGAGACCACAATGGCTCTTGAGCTTCTATAGATTTCAATATTTCCAGCTCTTCTCCTGCTGACTTTAGTGGTTCTAGATTCTCTGTTTCTAAATATCTCACTGCCTCTACACTCTCTTCTTTTAAGGACCTTAAGAACTCTTGATTCTCTTTTTCAAGAGGTCTAAATATCTCCTGGTCTTTTCCAAGAGACTTCAGTGGCTCTGGTTTCACCTTTTCCAGAGGGCTTAATGTCGTCTGGTCTTCTTCTCCTAGAGACCTCAGAGGCTGTTGAATCTCCTTTTCAACAGGTCCTATTATCTCCTGGTTCTCATCTTCTAGAGACCTCAGTGGCTCCTGGCTGTCTTTTTCTAAAGGTCTCATTGTCTCTTGGTCCTCTTCATCTAGAGACCTCAATGGCTCTTGATTCTGTTTTTCTAGAGCTGTCAGTGACTCAAAGTTCTCCTCTTCTACAGACCTCACTAATTCTTGATTCTCCTTTCCTGGATATAAAAATGTCTCTACATTATCTTCAACAGATCTCTTAAGTTCTTGGTTCTCCTTTTCCAGAGATTGCAATGTGTGTGGGTCCTCGTTGCCTATTGGCTTAAGTAGTTCTAGAGTCTCTTTTTCTAGAGTTCTCACTATCTCCATATCCTTTTCTTCTAAAGACTTCAATAGCTCTTGATTCTCCTTTTCTAGACTCTGTAGTGTTTCTAAGTTCTCTTCGAAAGACCTCAGAGATTCTTGATTCTCCTTCTCTAGAGAGCTCAGTATCTTGTGGCTCTGTTTTTCCAGAGACATCAGTGGCTCTTGAATCTCCTCTCCCAGAGACTCCAGAGTTTCTTTTTTCAAAAGACCCTGGGCATCCTGGATTTCCTTCCGGTCCAGATCCCCCTCTTGCTGTGTTTCCTGTTGCAAGCTGCTTACCACTTTGACCTCTATGGCTGTTTCTTTCTCTGCCAGCTCCCAGATTTGCCCTTCACCTTCCTCCTGGAATCTGCTGCATACTCTAGACTCACTGGGCTCTCCATCTTTGGCCTCTAAACTGGGGTGGTCAGGATTGACGGGTGGGGCCAAGGTGGCATGATCCCCAGGGGACTGGCCTGTACTGGCCTCTGGCTGCTTGCCTCTAGGCTCCTCTGGTCCAGGCAGGGTGCCGGCTGGGATAGCCTGTGCCACCTGCTGCCTCCCAGCCTGTGGGTGGAGCATGGAGAGAGGGCCATCCTGGGCTCCGATCTCTCCATCTGTAGCAGGGAAGGGAGCCTGATGTGTGGGTGGGATGGGAGTGCTGGCCAAGGTTGGGGTACGGGCCTGGAGGGTTTCCTGGTTCTTCAGAAAGGTTGGAACAGGTGTCTCAAGGGTATCAGGTAAGGGTGAGGACAGGGGAGTAGGGCTCAGAACAGAGAGCAAAGGACCCAGACGCCGGCCCTCTGGGGTCCCAGGGAAATGCAGCTCCAGCTTGGGGTCTGGAAAGACAGAGGAGAAGAAACAGTGTCAGTATGTACTGGCAGGGGGATGGGGTCACAGAGGCGCGACCACTTCTGGCAAGGGTGCCCATGGGCCCTGCCCTCGCCCCCCACTGTCTGGGCTGAATCAGCTTGAGCTGTTGTCG